CCAAAACATCCCCTGGTCCAGTATCCCATGAGTGATTCAGATGAGTAATGACAGGTGTAGAGCTGAAGTGAGAAATAATTAAAATTTGCAGTGCTTTGATGAGTCCAGTACTGACCAGCACAGCACTAATGTGTCCTGAGCCCTGGTTCTGCCTGGAAACCACAAGCCAGGTCCTTGCTAGGTGGAGGATTGGCTTGAAAATTGCTTCACTTTGTGGGGTGTGTGAGGGAGTTATTTTCCTTTCTGTCTCTTCATTCCTGAGCCTGTAGAAATTGGGGTTTGGAGTGTTTTGCAACGATCCTGAAGGACAGAGATTTTTGTGTAGAGAACACTTTCACATGATGGGATGATTACAGGAAGCCATTTGCTTGAAGAGGCAACTAAATAAACTAATAACAGCAAGTATCAGCAGATTTGAGATGAAACCAGGGAGGCTGGCAGGGCTGAGATGTTATTAGTTCCAGATGTTGCTCACAGATAAATATCTCTGGCCTGAGCTTTTCTAATTACTGACAGAAACTGAGCTGTCACATAAAGATGCCTCTGAAGGCTCCCTGAGCACATCCATTACAGTCCAGGGAGGACTGATATCCATTCATATTTCCTTTTTTTTTTTTCATTTCTTGCTCGGGAATTTGCTGAATGAAATTCCATTTCTGTGCTGTGCTCAGATTTTGGGTGAGAGGAGCAGACACAGGAGCCTGAACCCCAGCCCAGCTGTGCTGCTGGGATCTGCCCCACTCCTGATAAGGGAAATTTATTCTGAGCAGCCCAGGACACCTCTGCCAGGGCCATTTCCATATCTCTGCTCAGCCAGGGCTGATTAAAGAGGAGTGGAGTCAACTGAGGTACCTGAGCCCAAGCTCATCTGTGCTGCAGAGTCACTGCCTGACATCAGATAATTCCTCAGGGGAGGCAGCTTTGATCAGGCTGCAGCACTGGGGGAAATGCTGGGGAGCAATCCCTGGTGTTTTGCATCTGGTCCATTTTCAAAACTGTTTTCATGCTGGGAAGTTTCTCTCGGGGAGGAATGGCAGCACTGAGGAAGTGTGGGCCCAGCCCTGGGCCCTTCCTGGTGCTGCTGGCACAGGGATCCCTGGGGGGGATCCAGCTCTGGGTCCCTTCCAGGAGGAAATGTGTGCTGGGAGTTGCAGGTGGGAGGGAAGCCCTGTGAGCTGGGCATGTGCTCCCTGCTGGGGTTAGAAAACAAAGTTTCCTTGGAGCCAGGCTGAAATTCCTGTTAAAAGGGACAGTTCTGTGTGAAACCCTCCCTGGCTCCTTCCTTCCTTCCCTGTGCATATTTGGAGCTGAACATCACAGGAAGCCTGGCCTGGAATGGGGAACATCCTTGTGGCATCTCCAGGCAGTTCAGTTCCCTCCCCTGGCAGACTGAGCTGGGCTGGGCTCTCCCACCCTTTGGGCTGACAGCTCTCAGGTCAGCTCTGGGGAGCAGGGACAGAAAAGTGAAGCTTCTTCCAGCAGGAGAAGGTGGCTGGGCTGGGGTCATGTTTGTTTGTTTAACTGGAGCTGCCTGCCCTGCAGCCCCTGAGCTGGGTCAGTTGTTTGCAACCCAAACTTGTTACTGAGTGAGAACTGGTAGAACTCGCTGAGGACAACAGGAATTTTCCTAAAGCCCCCTGGGCTACAACAGATAATAACAAACTGGCCTGACTCTATTAAAAAGACATTTAAGCATCAGGTCACATTGTTTAGTGGTACTGGGATGCAGCAGAGCCAGCTGGATTCCCAGGAATGCTGCAGACAGGGGCTGGAAAACTGGTGGGAAAGGGCCAGTGAGGGGTTCATCCCTCTTGATTTCTCCAGGAGGCCAAAACCTCCTTTTCCTTTCCCTCTTTACTCCTTGTGGAGCTCTGCTGTGCCTGTCCTGTGCAAACAGAGGGGAGGGCAGCATTGCCAGGCTGAGCCTTGCAGCCCAAGGAAGTTTCTGTTCCTCTTTTTGTTCTCCTTTCTCTGGGAAAAGGCTCTGGAAGACACAGGGAGAGATGATGTGGTTTGGATGTCAAAGGAGTGAATGGCACAAGGTGTGTTTTTTGCTGGAAAAGCATCTGAAGCAGCCCCATCTCACTTTAGCCTGCTCCAGGCTGCTTCCTCTTGTTGTGTATTAATTGCTGAAGTGTTTTAATAACCCTTGGTCAAAGACAACTGCAATTCCTGGCACATCACAGGACAGCTGGGAAGGATGTTTGACAGCTGTCAGTGGGAAAAGCTGTGTATCCTAAAGGGATTAGAGTCCTTGCTTTGAAGTTCCTTACAAGTTACACAGCAGAGAAGCCAGACTGGGAACAGGGAGTGTGGAAGAGCTCAGGTGAGGTCACCCCACAGATGGGAGGCAGAAACAGGAGCATTGGGGTGTCAGGGCCACAGGGCCACGCTCCCCTGGCTGAGTGAAACACCCAGGGCTGGCCCTGCAGGGCTGGGGACCCTCTGGTGATGCTGAACCCACCCTGGAGCTGCTGCTGTGTCCCTCACAAAACACAGCTCATCCCAGGCTGCCCTGGATGTTGAAAGAGGGTTTAACAAGCCAAACACAAGAGCAGCCCTGTTGCCTTAGAGAGGGTGTAGCTGTGAGCAAAATTTGGCCCTCTCTTTTAGACTTTGCAGTTTGTCTTGACTGCTGCATGCTTTATTTTTAGAGCATCATAAAAGGCTTTTGTTCCAGGGTATATTTAACAGGGGAGTGGAGGGGAAGTGGGAGGGTTTTGTTCACAGAGAATGTATCTCTTGGTCTCTTTCTTCTATCCCACCCCCTCACCAGATACTCTTGGAGGGTGGAGTATAAATGAAAAAAAAAAAAAAAAAGAAAGAAAAAGGAGAGAAAATAATAATTAGAAATCCCGAAATCATAGTCAAAGGGATTGTCTGGGCGTCCAGGCCTGGAGGCCTCCGAGGCGCCACCAAAGTCCCATTATCACAAAAAAGACACAAAAGGTGCCCAAAGGATGGAAGGGGCAGGACAGGGGTGGTCCTGTCTGGCAGGAGCAGGGCCCAGGGACACATCCCAGCCTCCCTGCAGGCTGGCACTGGGCCTTTGCCAGCAGAGCAGCAGGGGCTGAGGGTTTGTGCTGCTCCTGTGCCCTGTCCTGGGGGAGCCACAGCACCATCCCTGCTGCCCTGCAAGGGCTGGGCCTGACAGCCTGAGCCAAACCCAGGTGGCCCAGGACACCTTCCCCTGGGACAGAAGCTGGCCCTGCTCAGCTCTGCCAGACACATTTCTGTCTCCTTTTTCTTTGTCAGGGCTTTTCCCTGCAGAGGTCAGAGCCCTGTGCTTCCCCTGCCTGCTCTGGCTCTGGCAGCATTTTGTCCTCCTTCACTTTTGTTGCTGGAGTCTGTAAAGGTTGGAAGAGACTCAGAAATCCCCCGAGGGGATGTTGCAGCTCTGCAATAACCAGAGCCAGTGAAATCCTCTCTGCCTGGATGGGGTAAAGGACAAGGACTCAGAGCTGCCACTGCGGGCACCATGAACTCGGCAGGGCTTCATTAATTGGAGATAAAATCAGAGTATTGATCAACTGCTGCCACAACTGCACAGATCAGTGCTGTCCTTGGCCTGACAGGACACAGCCCTGCCTGTGGCAGGGGGCTGGCACTGGATCATCTTTGAGGTCCTTTCAGCCCAGCCACTCCAGGGTTCTCCACGGGTTCTCTCAGCTTTGGGCTGTTGCTGTCCCTGCTCCTGGTGCTCTCCAGAATCCCCAGTGGAGCCTGCACTGCTCCAGCCCCTTGGCTTTCATTCCCAGAGCAGCCTTTGGATCCAGGCAGGCAGGAGCCCAGCACGGCCACTGCTCATCCTGCACCAGCAGCCAGGGAGGTGTTGGAGGCTGTTGTACCCAAATTAAAGAGCTCTGTGCTCACAGAGCCTGTGTGGACACGACTCCTGCCTGCCCTGTGTCCCCAGGGACAGCCACACTCAGAGCTGGGTGCCATCCCCAGAGCTGGGTGCCAGCCCCAGAGCTGGGTGCCATCCCCAGAGCTGGGTGCCATCCCCAGAGCCGTGCAGGGCTGAGCTGAGCGGGGCAGGCAGGAGTGAGACACGGTGGATGGGGGGGTGAGAACGAGGGGTGGAAGCTTTTCTTTTTCCCTTTGTTTTAAGGCTTGTATCAACTTGCCTGGCAAAATCCTCTCCTGCCTTCCAAACCCAGTCACCGTGAGTCACGGCTGAGCCCATCCTCTGCTCCTCATTGCAACACGGATGACAGAAACCATCCAGCAAGAGGGCTTGAATCCCTGATGAGTTTTGTTCTATTGCACAAACCTTTTCCCCGGGTGCAGGGGAGTTGCTGCAGAGGTGTTGCCTGGGTGGGATTCCTGCAGCCCCTTCCCAAAGCCCCCAAACAGAGAAAGGTTATCCCACAGGTTAGCCCTGCTCCTGCCAGACCCAGAGCACTGCAAGGGCTCCCTGAGCCAGGATATTTAGGGAATGACCTCGTACCTAAAGTTAGGGGGGTTAAGGTTCATTTTTTAAGAGGGAGGGGAAAAAAAAGCTCCTTGTGGTTCTGGAGTGAGCGGCTGAGAGGGGGTGAGGAGAGGCAGGAAAGGGTTTTCCTGTCAGTACAACTACCACAGAGAAATGAGAGGAAACTTTCTCCTTCCCTAACTCATTCCTTTATAAATTCATGTATTTTGAGTGTATTTATATATAAAGAAACAGCGAAGGACGAACCAGCCCCCGGCTCCATAGAAATGACAGCTCCTTGGCACGGCAGGCATGGAACCCATCCACAAACTGAAACTCATTATCCCCGAGATGCATCCCCGATCCCGCCCCTTTCTCCTCTCGCCGGGGGCTTTCCCTGGCGGCCGGCAGGGACAGGGTTACACTGCACCTGTCTGGGTGTACCTGTCCCAGGGCACCTGTCCCGGCAGCCAATCCCGGCACGGCCGCCCCACCTGTGCGAGCGCTGCCATAAATCAAACACCTGGCAGGGAATGTCCGTGTGAGCAGCCGACAGAGCCAGCGCTGCCGAGCCCTCACCGCGGCGATGTCCAATGAGCTGGAGTAAGTGCGAGCCTTTCTCCCTTCTCCTCTGCCTCGGTGCCCCGGGAGCTGGATAAGTGTGAGCCCTTTCCCCTTCTCTGCTTTGGGGAAATGCCCAATGAGCTGCAGTAAGTGGAGCCTTTTTCCCTTCTCTGTTTTGGTGAAATTTCCCATGAGCTGCTGTAAACGGAGCTTTTTTCCCCTCTCCCCTTTTCTCGCTGCCGGGGCTGGAGGAGATTACCGGGCTGCTCCTCTGCCTGCCCAGCTGTTGGTAAAGCGGTACAGAACGGGATGGGAACATTTCCCTGATTTTCTGTCGCCGCCTGAGCTGGTGCTGTCCTGGGGAGGAATCGCTTCTCAGGAACCAATCACTCTTTTCACCTGGGGCTTGTTAAAAACCACGATCCTCGTTAGTTTTTTATCCGCAGCTAAAACTGACACACGGGCTTTCTGTCTAAAGAGAATCTGCTCTGCCTCTGCCCAACAAAACCTAACAGCAGCTACAGGAATCTGGTTTCATTTCATATCTATTTATTTGAGAAAATACCTCCCAAAGTATTTACCAGGCTCTAGTTTCTAGGATTGTTGTGTGTTGTTTTTGTTGAGGGGTTTATGATTTTTTTTTGTTTGTTTGGGTGTAGGGTTTTTTTTTTTCCTTTGGGTTTTTTGTTTGTTTTGGGGTTTGGTTTTTGGGTGTTTTTGCTGTTTGTTTGGGTTTTTTTTTTTTTTTTTTTGTTAAGTAAATGGATTCACACTACGACCCTGTCAAAGAATTTAATCTTTTAAATCAGAAAAAGCTTTTAACACCTATTGATCCCGTATAACTCCCGTTTCTAATTTTGGCACCTCCGAAACATTGTGGAGGTTTGGCTGCCGATGGTATCCGCAGAGCACCTCGTGCCTCGCACCTCTGAAATAAAGGGCAGCAAGTGTCGGCTTGGCTGCCAGGGTGCGGGGACGGCCGCAGAGCGGGCAATGAAGCGGCTGAATGTATTTTAGTCAGGGCTAAACGCCAGCCCAGCCCAGAGCCCTGCGTGAAGGATCTGTGTGTAAAACATTCATCGAGAAAGAGAAATGACAAATACCTGTGTAGAGATCCGCTGCTTCCGAGGTGTTTTTTGGGAGAAACCCGTGTGTGTTTACGAGCCTGCCAGAGCTGCTGTGTCAGCCCATCTCCTCCTAATTAAGAACCCCGAAAAGGCACGGCAGTAATTATTATTTTATGTAAATCGCGGGATCAATGTGCTCGGATCCATTGAGAATCTGTCACTGAAATTTTCGCTTTCGGAAGTGTTTGGGTCATTTCGAACCGGCGCTCTTTAGGTTTGAGAGGGAGGACGCGTTTGGCTCTGGGGAGTGCGATTGATGGATTTATCGCTAATTAGGGCCGGGAATTACACGGCTGCTGCCTCTGCCCTGCCAGGGCTGTTAACCCTGAGCCTGCGGGGCTCCGTGCGAGCCTTTCCCACAAACGATCCTTGGGGAGGATCTGAGATCTCGGGAATTCCGCTTTATTTCAGGGCTGGATCCCTCGGGAGGAGCGGCAGCCCCGAGCCCAGCCCGGGCCCGAGCTGCTCGCCCAAAGCTCCGCAGGGAATTCCCTGCAATGGGAATTCCGCAGGACCAGAGGAGCAGGGGAAGGCTCAGCCCCGGTTTGCTCGGGGGCAGGAGCTGAGAAGAGGCTGCTAAAGCCCCTCCGGGAGCTGAGGGGCTCCGAGGAGCTGCGAATTTGGGGATAATGGCCAGGGAGCGGGGGCCGTGCCCCGGGCACAGCTGCCCAGATGTGCAGGAGCTGTGATACCTCCTCCATTTCCTCGCTCAAAATGCCATGGCCGGGATGGTCCCTTCCCACCTCTCCCTTTGGGACTTAAAATTCCCAGAGAGGGCTGGGAAGGGAGCAGCGGGGCATGGGAGGGGGAGATGTTTTGCCTGTTATAAAATATTCTAACTGCTGATTTCCATAGTCCTCTAAACTGAACCTGTGTCTAACTCTGCCTGCGTGGGCTGGAAGGAGTTAACCAGGAGTTACTCCCAGTTGTGGTTTTGTGGTCGAAACCATGATCGCCAGAAGCAAATTTTTGTCATGCATAAGGTGTGTTATTAAAACTTGAGTTATGCTCCTGGTGAATGAAAAGTTAAAGCCCTTTTATAAAATCCTGGCAGCAAAGCACACAAGGGATAACCGTGCTGGAGCAAGGGAGGCTGGCTCAGATTCTTTTTTTTTTTTTAAGTTATGTAAAGAGAAAAAGAGATTTGTAAATTAAAGAAACAACAATCAAATACCTGCTATGCAATTCCCAACAAAGGAGTAAAGCCCTCTGAATAAACTGCAGACTCAAAGCAGGAGTGAATCAACATTTGCACAGGATCTCTGCTTTGATGCTTTGGGTCACATTTGGGGCTGATTGGTCCATGGGAATGGTTCCAGGGAAATTTGCAGAATAAAGAGCTCCTGGAGGAGGATCTGCTCTGCCTTGGTTCTGGCTGGGGTTTGAATTGTTGATCAGTGTAACACATCCATCCAAACATGCACTTGTACCTGGATTGCACCTGCCAGCCCTTGGGAGCAGCTGATTGGCAGGGACAGGGATCCTGGCCTTGTGTGAGGAGGAGAAAGGCAGCAGCTGAGGAATGGGAATCACTTGGACTCATTATTGAACATGTGATTGGATGGCATTGCTCACAGCCAAGTTCCCAAGGCTTGGAGGGCCAGAAATATGGAAGAGATGGGGAAGAAATTCCTCCCTGGCACAGGTGCCAGAGCAGCTGGGGCTGCCCCTGCATCCCTGGCAGTGCCCAGGGCCAGGCTGGGCAGGGCTGGGGGTAACCTGGCACGGTGGGAAGTGTCCCTGCCATGGCCTGGATGGTCCCTTCCACCCCAAACCACTGCAGGCTCTGAAGGTTCATTTCGTGTCCCTTTAGGTGTCAGGGCTGTTCTGGCTCTGGGTGTGGCTGATCCAGAGCCACCCCTGTCCCCAGCCTGCTCACACTGAGAGCCCCAGGGCAGCTGGCACTGCCCCCTGCCCCTGCTCTGCACCCCTCCTGTCCTGCCATGCCCTGCCTGGGCTCTCTGAGCTCTGCAGGAAGGTCTGGTGTCATGGGGTCAATCAGGTTGGTTTGGCAGAACCTGAAAACCTGAATCAGGTTGGTTTGGCAGAGCCCTTGTCTGAAGCTCCCCGTGCTGGGGTTGGTTTTGTGTGGAACAGCCAAGGAGCAGCTGCTGCTCCTGTGCTGCCAGGACCCTGCCCCAGGGCACAGGGACACCTGTGCTGCCCCTTGGAGCTGAGATTGCCCAGGTCCCTCCAGGGTGGGCACAGGGGGAGCCCACCCTGGCTGTGCCTCTGCAGAGCCTGGGGCAGGGCAGGAGCAGCTGCTCCATGTGAGGCTCCTGTCAAGTGTCCTGCCCTGGCACAGCTTCCTGGAGCCTCTTGGGCAACAGGATCCACCTGTGGCACCCTGAGCAGGGCCCCAGCCCCTGCCAGGCAGGGAGGGATCAGCACAGCCCTGGCTGGGGGACCCCACTGTGCTGAGGCTGAGCAGAGCTGTGAGGCTGAGATCCCCAATCCCTGCTCTCCCTGTCTCTCTGCTGCCTTGGAAACCTGGGACATCCCCAGGTGTCCCTGCAGCAGCCTCTGGCAGGATGTGCTGAGGGAAGCAGGGACCCCTGAGTAAAGCTGGGCTTTGTTCTCAGCACAGACAACCCATAATAGCTGATTACTGGCTTAAAAATCCACATTATGTGAAGAGCAGTAAAAAAGAAACAAATTTCATTGCAGAAGTTTGTGTATTATGGTTTCCATTGGTGGGTTTTAAATCCACATCTTGTAAAATGGTGTTTTTTAAAATTTTATTTAAAAGTCATGGCTGTTGGAGTTAGAGAAGATACAAAAATTACCTGTGAAATCTCCCTTTTGGTGGGTGAAGCCCTGGGAGCCTCAGTGCCAAGTGTGGGGTTTGTGTCCAGGAGTAGCTGTACATAAAGTGTCTGTGTCTGTCCACAGTGAAACAGGAATGAGAGTGGAGTTTACAGCAATGTTTCAGAAGTGGGGGCAGATGCTCAGGGCCTGCTTTTGTGTCTCCCTTTGAAGTCAGGTATCCCTGAAACTCAGGACACCCCAAAACGGAGCCATCTGACATCAGAAATTGCTCTGGGAAAAACCAGCCCTAATTCCTGAGCTGCAGAGGGATTCTGTGCTGGGGTTTGTCCTGTGGGGCAGGGGAAGCACTAAAGCAGGGATGGATCCCTCCAGGGTGATGTTCTGGGGTGGGGCACAACCCCAAATGTCACAGCCTGGGTTGTCCCAGGCTGCAGAGGCAGAACAGCCCAGGGCTGCTGAGATTCTCAGCAGAGCTTCAGGGCTGGTTCTGCTCTCTCACCTTTGCTGAACAGCCCAGGATGAGGCATTTCAGAGCCAGTCCTGTCCCCTGAGGTGCAAAAGCAGGAGTTGGGCTGGGTGAGAAGGGACAAATGTGGAGCTGCTTTGAGGTTTCCTGGTAGGTGCCAGGAGGGCCAGGGGAGGGGATCCCAGGTTTGTCTGGCTCAGGCTGCAGAGCCCCCCTGGATCTGCTGGGGGGATCAGTGCCCAGCCCACCCCACCAGGGACTCCCCTCTGAGCATCCAGGGAGCCCTGTGGGGATCAGGAGCCATTTCCCAAAGCTGTTCCCGTGTTCCTTTCCTTCCCCTGCCAGGCAGGCACATCCTGCAGGGTCCCCTGTGCTGGGCCAGGCTGGGGAGGGTCCTGGACCCCCCTGTGCCCCTGGGTCCAGGGAAGGAGAAGCTCCTGCCCTGCTGGGCATCCTCAGCTGGCTGAGCTGAGCTAACCCTGGCCTGAGGTGCTGCTGCAAGGCCCCTGCACAAACCCAGGGACAGAGCCCACATTGTTCTCCAGCTGCCAGAGAAAATATCCCAGGAAATGTCCCGTGGGCAGAGCAGGTCAGGGGCCAGGGGCCAGAGCCTGGGCTGTGGGGTGACACCGTGTTGTGCTTGGCACCCCAGCAGTGTTTTCCATCCTTGGGCTGTGTTTGTTGTGTTTCTTTCTGTGTTTTTTTTTCCTGGTTCTGTCTCTGTTTGGATTTTTACTGGCTGTGTGAGTGGGTTGCTGACAATGCCCTCACTGCTGGCTGTGCTGTCACTTTGTCTTCAGGTGTGCTTGTTTATTAAACCTGCAAAGGAATTACAGAATCCCAGCTCAGAGGAGAGGTTTGGCTTCAGCCCTGAGGGCACCTGGTGGGATTCTGTCCTCCCTGGCAGGGGTTTGCAGGCCACAGTCCCTGCCAGGGAGAGCTGCTGGCCCTGCCCTGAGCTCCTGACAAGGGCTTGGGCAGCACCAGGGCCCTTTCAGGAGGGAGGAGAGGGCAGGGCCCAGGCCCAGAGCTGATGGAGCCCCCACAGGAGCTGCCTCAGGGCTGGGGGCTCTGTCCTGTGCCTCCCCAGGGGCTCAGTGTGATCGGCTCTGCAGCCACCAGCATCTGGCAGGGCCAGGGCTTAGGCTGGGCTTAATCAGGGGCAGTGGGGAGAACAAAGGCAGCAGCACCAGCCTCCCACAGCCACAGGAGGAGTTCAAGGGCTCTGTCCTGCTTGGCTTCTGTCCCCAGCTGGACCCTTTGGGCATGTTCTCCTTTCCAGCAGAGCCCTCAGTGTTTATCCATCACCAGGAGAAATTGGGGAAACAGAGCTGGGGTGGGCTGGAGCGGGAGAGGGGCCGGGATCACCTTGGCCACACTCCCGAGTGTTTGGAAACAAACACTCTGCTCCCTGCCCCAAACCCTGCTCTGCACATGGCCCCAGCGTGCACAGAGGGCAGGAGGGAGGTGCTGCTCCCACGTTTGTGTTTCCCTGGCCTGGAAAGGAGCTCTGGCCTTGCCAAGCACAGCAGGGAGCTTGGAATGGGCAAACAGGGCCTGGCCACGGGCAGGGGCATCACAGGCAGGAGGAAAGTAAAGTTCAGCTGTGTTTGGACGTGGATTTGGGTGACTTTCCTGGCCTGTTTGGATGTGGATTTGGGCCTCTTCCCTGCAGCTGTGCCTCCCAGGGGTTGCTGATGGGAGCTGTGTGTCCTGTAGGTCCTGGTGTCAGAAAGGTGCCTTGGACTTGTCACCACACCTGCTAATCTGCTCAGATCACCTGTGCTCAGCCCCTGGGGAGCTGTGGTGACCTTTGGGAGCAGGCTCAGAGCAGGGCTGGTCTCAGGACCAGTGGATGGGGTGGGTGTTCCCTCAGTCCCTCAGGGTGGGTTCTGAGGGGCTCCAGCCACACATCCCAGGGACTCTGGGACAGGAGCAAGGTGGGATCAAGGTGCAATTCCTGTCACCCAGGGCAGTTCCAGTGCATGGAGCAGCTGCTCTGCCTCTCCAGGCCCCTGTGTGTCCTGAGCTCTGCTGTCCTGAGCTCTGCTGTCCTGAGCTCTGCTCTCCTGCTGTCCTGAGCTCTGCTGTCCTGCTGTCCCACTGCTGCCAGGAGCACCAGGGGCTCTGTGTGCCCACGCTGGGCTCTCCCCAGCTCAGGGCACTTTGCCTTTGCTCTCTCCAGGCTGGGGCAGGGCAGGTGTCCCCGGGTGCCTTTTCCAGGCTTCTCCCAGCAGAGCTGAGGGGCAGGAGGGAGCAATCGCACACGGAATGCTTTCGTTGGGGGAGGATAAATCTCCCAGGGAATCTGGGAGGTGTTTTGAAGCTCCCGGGTGCTTTGTTGCTCCATCCTGCCCCGTGTGTTTATCTGTGCCGGTTCCCAGGTCGGCCCGAGCTCTGCCGCTGTCCCTGGGGAGCTGCGGATCCTGCCCGGGCAGGGGAGCAGAGCCTGAGTCAGTGCCGGGGCAGGAGCAGGAGCAGGAGCAGGAGGAGGAGGGGGAGGAGGAGGAGGGGGAGGAAGGCTGCGTGAGAAGCGCTGAAGACAACGAAAGTGCCCGGGCACGGCTGGGCCGGGAGCGGGGCCCGCTACGCCCGGGGGCGCTGCCAGCCCAGCCCTGCCCAGCACGGAGCCCGGGGTGCAGGGAGAGCAGAGGACCCTGAAGGAAAAGGTGACAGGGACAGCAGGAACAGCCCTCGGTGGCCTCATGGAGAAAATCAGCTGTAATTCCTGAACTGCAGAGTAATTCTGTGCTGTCATTTGTTTTGTTAGGCAGGGGAGGCACCAGAGCAGGAGTCTGAGCCAAGGAGAGCTCGGGAGCCTGAGCCTGGAGCATCCCGAGCCTTCCCTGCAGGTTCAATGGGAATTTGTGCAGGTGGCAGAGCAACCATGGGGAGCTTCAGGGATGCCAGGTTCCTCCCAAGAGGAATTATTGTTCTCTGAATGATTCACTTAAAAATCTACACCAGAACTTATTTTAAACACATGGAGAGTGGCTTAATGAAAACAACATATTCCTTATAAAAATGCCATTCAACTGCAGCATTCATTGCTGTAACTCCTGAAGTTTCCTTTGCCTTTCCATGAGCAAACATCAGGTGATGGCATGGTTCAACTCCAGTCAGCTCTTGGCAACTTTGGGGATTTTTCAAACCTTTCTTCTAATAAAACCCAGTCTTGCCCTTCCTGGACTTTGAGGAAAGGGGAATTTTTGTCCCCAGAGATGTTTTATGGTGAATGGTGTGAGCTGTGGTGGTGGCAGCAGGTGCAGGTGACAGGAAGGTGTGACAGGAGCAGGGCCAGTGGCTCAGCCTCTGTGGATGTGCTGGGATTCCCTCAAAGGTTGGACTCAGAGATCTCTGGGGTCTTTTCCAACCTAAACAATTCCAGGATTCCATGGTTCCAACCTCCCAGGGAATGCACAGAGGCACTGCTGGCAGGGCTTGCTGCAGGAAAAGGAAAGATGACCAATGTTTGGGCAATTAAGTGTCTGACAGTTTATTAACATAAGATGGAGAGGCCTGGAGAAAGTGCCAGAAGTGAGGACAGGCAGGGCATTATTTTGGTGTGTTGCTTCTCACGTAGTCCCATGAGCCTCACCTCAGTCAGGAATTTTTTAGTGGAAGGGAGGGGGTTGTGATCTGCCTGTCTGCTTCCCTCTGAGCAAAATCAGCTACAAATGATTGGGAAAAAATAATTTAAAACCGTGGATTACAGCAAAGGAAAACAATGAGGTTTGGTTGCATCTGGGCACTGAGTGCCTGTGTCTGACTGGGCTGTGCTGGCCTGGAGCTCCACATCCAAGGGAAAATTGTTCCCTGCTCCCTGTTCAGTGTGCAGCACCCTGGATGGGGCTGCAGGAAGGAGCAGCTGAGGGGCTTTGCCTCCCTGGGGAGGCCCTGGCCTGGCTTTGTGCCCAGCTGCAGCAGCAGAGGGGGTGATCCCAAAGGCTCTGGGAGCTCAGGACCAGGAGAGGATCCCTCCCCCATCCCACAGAGCCCTCGGGAGGCCCCTCCTGTGTTCATGGAAAGCTCTGGGGGAAAAGCTCCTCGCTCATTCCTGGTGCCCCCAGTTTCAGATCCGTGCGCCTGATGAAGAATGACACCATGAACTTCCAGAAATTCCCCTACACCAGCGAGGATGAGGCCTGGAAAACCTACCTGGAGAACCCCCTGACTGCAGCCACCAAGGCCATGATGAGGGTGAACGGGGACGACGACAGCGTGGCCGCCCTCAGCCTCCTCTATGACTACTACATGGTGGGTGCCCTGGGCTGGGCAAAACTGGGCAAAACTGGGGCAAAGCTGGGTAAAACCAGGGTAAAACTGGGGCAAAGCTGGGCAAAACTGGGGCAAAGCTGGGCAAAACTGGGGCAAAGCTGGGCAAAACTGGGGCAAAGCTGGGTAAAACTGGGGCAAAGCTGGGCAAAACTGGGCAAAACTGGGCAAAACTGGGACAAAGCTGGGTAAAACTGGGCAAAACTGGGGCAAAGCTGGGTAAAACTGGGCAAAACCGGGTAAAACCGGGGCAAAACTGGGTAAAACCGGGGCAAAGCTGGGTAAAACTGGGGCAAAGCTGGGTAAAACTGGGGCAAAGCTGGGTAAAACTGGGGCAAAGCTGGGTAAAACTGGGACAAAACGGGGTAAAACTGGGTAAAACCGGGGCAAAATCGGGTAAAACTGGGTAAAACTGGGCAAAAGAGGTATAGAATATGTGTCAAACCTGTACCACCTTAGGAGGGGACCCCTCTACTGAGCTCCTCCATCTCCTGAGCCTTCCAGTTGTTTCTCCAACACCACACAGTGCCATCAGTGTCCCCAGAGGTAAACTGAGGCACAAACCAGCACTTGGAGGGAATCCAGAACATGTGGAAAAGCTGAACCCAGGGCCTTGAGTCTGGATTTGTGCCCATGAGGGCTTTGAGAGCTGTTGAGCTGGAGCAGCCCTGCAGACCCCACCAGTTTTATTCTCCCAGTGCTGCTGGAGGATGGAGCTTTGGGAAATGTGGCTCTGATTGGAGGCAATACCAGTGATGTCCCCACTCACCTGGGGGCCTTTACAGTCCTGCCCAGAAGAAGCTGCTGTGCTTGTCCAGGGTTATTTGGGAGCCCAGGGCAGAGCCCAGCTCTGCTGTTTGCTCTTCTTGTGGGGTTTTATCTGGTTTTATTAGACAGGGCCAATTCTGCTGCTTCCCTTTAACAAAATCCTCCCCTAACCAACCTCTGCTGTGCCCTGTCCCAGGTGCCCAAGGAGAAGAGGATTCTGCCAGCTGGGATGATGGCACGCAATGACCTGGCAAAGAGGTTGGCTTCAGTTCCTGCTCTCTGGGGCTGCCTCACTCTCCTGCAGCTGCTGAAATGCAGGATGGGGCTCTGAGCTTGCAGAAAATAGACATCAAAGCACGGTGTTATTACCAGCAACAGTGCAGCTCATTAACCCTGAGACACACATTAAAATTCTTTAGGCCAGGTCCCAAGCAGGAATAAATGGAGCTACACCCATTTACACAGCTGAGCATCTGTCTGGCTGTGTTCACAGGGCTTCTGCAGATTTGCAGCAGCTGAAGAAGTTGCCTTTAGTTCCTATTTTGTGGCAACTGCAAAGGGCAGAAGGATTGAGCACTGAATGGCCAAATCCTCCTTCATTCCCTGGGCTGATGAGAGTTCCTGTTCCACTCTCCCAGGATTCTCTTCCAGTGACTCCCATTTGTCCTTTGAGGTTTTCAGATAATTGACTATTAAATTAATGCCTCATTTGCCACTGTGAGTTCAGTTCCCCTTCCTGGATGCTGTACTTTGGCATTGTCAGTTTTGAACCACTGGACAGAATAAACCTCCAGTGATACTTCAGAAGTAAACTGAATTAAGCTGGTTTTGCTTTTTGCTTCCTAAGTTGCTGGAGTTTGTGAATTTGTACAATAATTGGTTTTCCTTAAAAAAGGGTATAAAAAAAATCAACTTTCAGCATGGATGAGCCATAAAAAGTCTTATGATGGACAGCCCACACAGCATCACCTTTGTTATCACCCCTGCTGCTCTGAGTGTGTGGTGGCCTCAATGAGGGAGCAGTGGATGTGCAGCCCCAAACCCCATCCAGACCCAATTCCCCGGCTCCCTGTGGTCACCCCTTCTCTGCTGAGCACCCCTGGCCCTTGCTGCCTGCCCTGAGAGCTGTGGGTGGAGGTCCCCAGTGGCTGCCACTGCTCCCAGGCCCAGCAGGAGCTGCTGGGCTGACTCGGGGTCACCTGGCAGCCAGGCCAGCAGCACATGCAGGCCCTGCTGGCAGTGCCACCGAGCTGGGGGCGCCCTCTCTGCCCTGCCCTGAGCCAGGACTCTCCCCAGCAGGCACTGCCACGGGATGGATTATGAGCCTGAGCTGCCCTCCTTCGATGGCTCTGCCCATCTCATGAAGCTGCTGTCAGAAAACGTCTCCATGAGCCAGGAGTTCTGCGAGCCCCCCAAGAAGAATGGCCTGAGTCTCGAGGGTGTCCCTGCCCCTCACAAGGCAGCCCTGCTCCCCCCAGGCACCAGCAAGCTGGAAGCCCCCCCAGACAACTTCCTGGTGGCCCCTGGGGACGTGTATGACAGCAGCTCCCTGAACTCCCTGTTTGAGAGCCTGCCCATGGCCCCGGCCCAGCAGCGCTGGCAGCCCGACAGCACCTTCAAGGAGGACCCCCAGGAGGTCAGGCTGGGCTCTGGGGACACTGGGCTGCTCCTGTGGGGTTTCTGGGGGGTTATGTTGATTTTGGGGGTCAGGCTGGGCTCTGGGGACACTGAGCTGTTCCTGTGGGGTTTCTGGGGGGTTATGTTGATTTTGGGGGTCAGGCTGGGCTCTGGGGACACTGGGCTGCTCCTGTGGGGTTTCTGGGGTGTTATGTTGATTTTGGGGGTCAGGCTGGGCTCTGGGGACACTGAGCTGTTCCTGTGCTGTTCCTGTTGGATTTCTGGGGTTTTTGTTGATTTTGGAGGTCATGTGCTGTGGTGTCTGGGAGAGCTGAATGCCCAGAGCCATGAGAGGTTTGACTCTTGGGTTGTGTTTGCTCTTGTCTGCAGACGCTGCTCTTCAGTGACATCCTCAAACCCCAGCCAGAGCCACCCTGCCCCGAGAGTTACCCCACAGATGGAGTGAAGAGGTAACAGCAATCCAGGGCTTTGGGCTTCCAGGGAACTCTTGGCTCTTTCCTGGGGAAGGACTGCATCCCTTTCCTGTCCCCAGTCCAGCCTTGGCAGTGACCAGAGCAATTTCAGATCCCGTGCTTGTGCAGACACCAGTTGTGTGTCCCTGGTGTTTTTGGAGCAAGGGGCTGCCCCGTGAGCTTTTGGACCAAAGCTGGGATTGCTCAGCCCCCAGACTGGGGAGAGTGCAGGGCCAGCTGCTGTCCCCTCTCAGGGTGACAGCCCCTTCCTGCTCGCCTGGGTGACACAGAGGGACCCAGGTGGCTGCACCATCTCCCCACAGGCCACTTGGGATGGGGTAAATGACAGGGAAAAGGAGGCTGGCAGGGCATGAGGGTGATCATCAGCCTCCCCTAATCTAAGGTTTAGGTTCTCACTTAGCACTGTTAGTCAGCCTTGATTTTAGAGGGTGCCACTGCCTCTCATTCCTAAAACATGAGAGGGATTTCTTCCTCCTTTCCACCCCTCTGCCAGGCAGAGCTTTGCTGCTCCAGATACCAAATCAAACCTCCCAGCAGGTAACATTATTTCACCTCCCACTTTTTATTTGCTCCTGAGTCAGCTGACTGGGTGAGTCAGCTGTCAGACGTGGGGATGTTCACACAGACAGCAGAGGCTCCCTGCTCACTGTTTATTTGTGCACTGAAGTTCTCTGGCTCTCCTGGCTGCAGATAAGAGGAGCTGCCAAGCCCATCTTCAGAGATGGCATCACAGGAGGTGGAGCAGGAAGGAGATGGGTTGGTGACTAAACAGGGCACTTGAAGGGTCTGAGTGAAGGCTCCTGTACAGGTGGTGGCTTGCACGGATTCCTCCCAGCAGAAACCAGCTGTGGCCTCATGGTTTCAGTGCTCAGCTGCTGCTGAAGGCCTGGGAGCTGCTAAATTCAGGCTCTTCTTTCAAATTTCCAGTGCCAGCAGTGGCACCCTCTCTGTGTGCCACCACAAGGCTTTTCTGTAGAGATTAAAGTTGGGATTCTGAGCCCAGCTCTGCATAACCAAGCAGGTGTTGGTGTCCTGCAGGTCCTTCTACAGGACCATTACGGGAGAGTCTTCCTGGCTCAGCCAGTTTGGGTATGGATTTGGAGACAGGAAGCTGAGTTTAGGATGTTGTAAAGGTCCCTTCACAGGTTCCCATTTTTGTGTGTTTTGCTGCAGGCTGCTGGTTGAGCAATGGTTCTGCTGCCATCCACACAAAAGCACTGGCTGCAGTCACATCCAGGTGTTTTTAAGCCAAAGCTGAGGGGTGAAATGAGGCTGTTGGAGCAGTGCTGGTCCCCAGGGTGTTGGGGAGGATCAGAATGTGCTGTGCTGTGTCAGGGTGTGTGAGGTGGGGAATGGAGCAGAAACTGGAGCCTGTAACCCGTGGGGTGGAGGCTCCTGGGGCTCTGTTTTGCTTTTGCAGTGAAACAGCAGCGTGTGCTTATTCATCCTTCTCTTTGTTCCATCCAAGTGACTTTGAATACACGCTGGGGTCACCCAAAGCCATTCACATCAAATCTGGGGACTCTCCCATGGCCTACCTCAACAAAGGACAGTTCTACCCCATCACACTGCGGACAGCTGGAGACAGCAAATGTTTGCACTTGTCCTCAAATAAAGTGAAGGTAAGAGACACAGACAGGCTGACAGCTCTGCTGACAGCTCTGGAATGGGACATCCAGCAGCTCCTCTGGCCTGGGAATGGAGCTGAATGTGAGCAGGAATGGCTTTGTGGCTCATGTTAGCTTAAAGGGACGAATGGGGTGGATTCAGTCCCACAGGATAATCCTGTGCTGCCCTGCAGAGCCTCCCTGGCAGCTGGAACCTGTCACAGGAGCTCAGGGATGCACAAAGGGGCAGTGGGCGCCCTGCTGGAGGAGCTCTGAGCCAGGGACAGGGTCCCCATCCTGCTCCTGGGATGTGTGGCCAGGCCTTGGAGCAGCCCCTGAGATCAATGTGCCAAATGGCTGAGCCCAAATCCCTTCCCTTGCCCTCCTCAGCTTCCTCAGCATAAAATTTCCAGTTTCACATGGCCCTGGGGGCAGTGCAGGATGGAAGGGTCAGGGGGGCACTGATCACTGCTCTGTGCTGAGCTGGCTGTGCTGCTGTGTTGCAGAGTGTGGTGATGATTGTGTTTGACAATGAGAAGATCCCCACGGAGCAGCTGAAGTTCTGGAAGCACTGGCACTCGCGGCAGCCCACGGCCAAGCAGAGAGTCATCGACGTGGGTACGAGGGGCTGCCACACCTGGGGCAGCTTCTGCCTCCACTGCAGGGCCTCCCTGGCTCTGGGAGTCAGCCAGGGCAGGATTTGGGGGTGGGAGCCTCGGGGTGTCAGCAGTTTCTGCCCCGGTGCTGACTGCTCCTCCCCTCTCACAGCCGACTGCAAGGAGAACTTCAACACGGTGCAGAACATCGAGGAGCTGGCCTACAACGCCCTGTCCTTCGTGTGGAACGTCCACGAGGAAGCCAAGGTACAAAGTGCCCCTGGAGGGAGCTGGGAATGGAGCAAAGCTGCAGCTCCCTCCTGAGAGCCCAGCCCAGTGCTCAGAGAGGGGCAGAGCCACTGCAGAGTCTGCCTGGCAGGACAGCAGGACACCGTGCCTCAGATGTGCTCAGGCACTGCCATGAGCCAACAAACACTCTGGGTACACCCAGACTGGCTCAGGGATGTTGTTTTAGTGCTGATGGATAACTCTGAAGAAAGGGATTTGCAGCACTTCAGGGCTCTGCTCACAGGTACCTGCAGCCTGTTTAAATAAGCCCCAGCTCAGGGAACAAAGAGCCCCCTCTGCAGCAGGGGGATGCAGACAGACTGACCACCCTTCTGTGGGATGTGGGAAGGGAGCCAGGCAGGTCACAAGATCCCTTTTCACCTTAAAACCAGCAAGGTTCATTACAGCAAAGCCTTTGCAGCTCTGCTGTCTCTTCTGCATCTCAGACTCTCTCATTAACACTTTGTATCTGTGGGGATTGAAAAACAGATGAAGTAACTAAGAAAAAAAAAGAAAAGCATAAATACCCCAGGTCTCTGAAGCTTGGGAAAACCCTGCCTGGCTTTGGGATCTCAATAAGCCCAAAGGCAACCTGGGTCTTTTACAACCCAAGAGGTTAACAAATGTCTTGAAGGCAGAGCTGTCAGAAATGGAAATATGTCAGGTATGTGGCAAGCCCTGGGGGCATCTCAGCAAACCTGGATTTAACTCTTAGCAGAAACTCTGCTCACTCACTGGCCTGGGGCAGGGAGAGGTGAGACTTCAGAGAATGGGAGTGAGGCAGGAGGGGTCAGGGGCTGGGAACAGGAGGGGCCAGGGGCTGGGAACAGGAGGGCTCAGGTATTTGGCTGTTTGGCTGTTTGGGGTGGCCATGGCACCTGTTACTGCTCCCTCTCCAATTAAACTTTACCCCCCAGTGAAGAGGTTTTCTTTCCTAAGAACTGACCGGAGCTGACATCGGGTTTCAGGGCTGAAATCCTCAGCTGAGGGAGCTCTTGGAGCTTCTCCACCTGCAGATCTGTCCCCAGGGTCCAGGGGAATTCCAAGGTCACAGCAGTGAATTGGCAGTTTGGAGATACAATTTGGATTCGAGCTGTGCTCAGCTTTCCTTCCAGAGTTCCCCCTGGAGTTAACTCCCTCCTGGTGATAAAAGAGCCCAGTGTGGGATGAATATTTACTTAAGCAGCACTGCTGGGCAATTCCTGAGGCTGCAGCCTTGCCCTCCTCCCTTCCTGCAGGGCTTTGCTGTCTGAGGGTCCCTTTCAAATGAAAGATCAGAAATATCAGCAAGAACATCCCCAGGCAGGATTTTGGGGGTGGAGAGGCTCAGTTAAAGAGCTGGAATAGGTGTGGGGGGAGAGGCTCAGGTGGAATCCAACTGCTGCCCTGCCAGGCTGGCCCTGGGAGCTTTCCAGCAGCACCAACGCTGTCCCTGTCCCTGTTTGCAGGTGTTCATTGGGGTGAACTGCCTGAGCACAGACTTCTCCTCGCAGAAGGGGGTGAAGGGGGTGCCCCTGAACCTGCAGATCGACACCTACGACTGTGGCAGTGGCAGCAGCCAGCTGGTGCACAGGGCTGTGTGCCAGATCAAGATCTTCTGTGACAAGGTACAGCTCTCCCTCCACCATTCCACAACACAGCTGGCCTGAGGGCCCAGAGTAAAACCAGAAAGGCTGAGAGAGCCTGGAACAGCCCAGACCTCTGCCTGTGCCTCACAGTAAACTCTATTTCTGACTCTGGTTTTGACCAGTTGTTAAATATCAAAAGAGATGAGAATTTCCTTGGAGGTTCTTCCCTAATCTCAGATATCTTCCCATAGAAAAATTTCTCACAGCTATTCTTGCCTGTGTGTTTCGCTTTTAGAAGCAAATTTTATTTTTGTTTTTCTAATTTCTGAGTGTCAGAGAGTCTTGGCTTGGGCTGGGGAAGGTCCCTGAGGTGGCCATTTCTGAGTCAAGGCTGCCTTCACCCCAATGGGTCACACACCACAGGTGCCATGGAACCAATGTTGGAAATGTCAGTGTCCTAAATTTCACTGGATCTTCCCACAGGGAGCAGAGAGGAAAATGAGGGATGATGAAAGGAAGCAGTTCAGAAGGAAAGGAAAATGCCTGGACTCCAACAACAATGGTGAGCTCAGCTCCTGTGTGTGCTCCATGCTGAGATCCCTGCCTGTTCCCTCCCATGGATCTTGGCTGCCCTCAGCCCCCTGGCAGCCCGGCCCCTGCTGGGCTCCTTCCACCCCCGAGTCCTCAGGAGCTCCCCCAGCCCCTGCCATGGTTCTGGGCTCTCCTGGAGGTGCTGCCGTCCTTGGGAAGGAGCTGCCCTGTCCCAGCGCGAGGGCCGAGATGAACTGGACTCTCCGTCTGTAGGTCTGAAAGGCTGTTTGCTCTCTGGCTTCAGAGGGAACGAGATCACCTTCCTGCGGCCCGAGAGCGACCTGGAGACGCAGCCCGTGCTCTTCATCCCCAACGTGCATTTCTCCGCCCCCCAGAGGTGTGGCTCGGTGAGTGCCCGGCCTGGCTGCCCCTCCCGGCCTGAGCAGAGCCCCCAGAGCCCCCGGAATGTGGGGGAAGCCCCAGGCTCAGCCCAGCTTTGTGGGATTGAGGTGAACTCCCTGTCCTGAGGGCCCGGCCATGCAGCAGTGCTGGGTGAGAGAACCTCTGCAGGTATTCCCGTGCTTTACACACCTGCAGAGCACTGCAGGGGGAGCAAAAATAGCAGTAGAAAATAAATTATAGCAAAATGTGAGCATCTCAGTCCCTGTGTGGGTGGGACATCCCCCACTGTCCTCATCCAGGGTCCTTCAGAGCTCCTCAGCATCCCCTGCCTCAGTTTGTCAAAACCAGGGAATCTGGGGAAGTTCTTTATATCAAATTTCATTTAATCTAAGAAACAGATGTTTGGGTTTAATTGTGTGGGAAAACTGATGGGTCAGGAGGAGGGAAATCGTGTTTAAAGTGTGCCCAAGATGCCTCCCCCAGCCTGTCCAGCACACAGTGATGCTGTGCAAACTCACAGATCCATTTCCTTTGCATTGCAGGTGCTCCCTCCTGCTGTTCCCAACTCTGCAAACAGGTGAGGATGCACAGTGTGCATTTCCCACCCATCAGCTGCTCTGTTCCCTTGGGAATGCCAGGGCTGTGGGGTACCCCAGGGCAGGATAACACAGCTCAGAGTCTCCCTGATGCCCTGAGAGTCAGAACATGACTTAAGCCTTGTCCTGGCAGGGACCCAGGCCTGCAGAAACACGGACACATTTCTGTCCCTGTCAGAGTCACTCCAACACGAGCTGCTCCCTGATTGTCCTGCTGTTCTCATGGGGACAATGTCTGAAAGGGAGAATAAAGGATCATAACTGTCCCTGAAGGGCTCAAATACCCAGAGGCTGGAAAATAATCTGGAATTAAGTGAAATCACACTTGAAAAGCAGAATCTCCCCCAGCCTGGGCCCTCTGTGTGGGGATTCCAGTGCCCCACAGGAGGTGCAGGAGCTTTTGGGTTTTTGGTGACCCCAAACCCTCTGCAGGCCCTCCCTGAGCTGTGCATGTGCTGCTGTAATTACAAACCAACATTTAATTGCTGGCTGGCTGTTGGAGTGAGTGGCTGTTCAGGCAGAGGCTGGGCAGCTGCAGGGGTTTGTGCTCCTGCTCTGTGCCCTCCTGAGTGTGTTTGTCCCTGCCCAGGCTGCCCCTCAAGCGGAGCGGGGCCTCCTTCGCCGACGACTTCGAGCCGGTGCCCCCAAAGCACAGCAAGGACGAAGATCCCCAGAGAGGTAACCCTGGGATCCCCAACTCCCTGAGCCACAGGGCTTTGGGAGCGTGGCAAAGGCCCTGAGCAGGCCCTGTTCTCCTGCAGTGCTGCTCTACGTGCGCAGGGAGTCCGAGGAGGTGTTTGATGCTCTCATGTTGAAGACCCCGGATCTGCAGGGCCTCAGGACAGCTGTGAGTGTCCCCAGACCCCCTGGGAATGGACAAACTGCAGATAAAAGGGAATGGGATTGGTGAACAGGGAGCTGGACATGGGCTGCTCCTCTCTCCTGCCTGCTCTCCCTTGGCAATGGGAATGGGAATGGGAACGGGAGCTGAGCTGTCCCAAGAGCTCCTGGCGTGGCTGTGTTGAGCTGCAGAGGGAGGATCACACCTCCTGCCCCATCCAGATCCTCAGGGAAGCCTCCTCTTGTGACAGCACATTCATATTTTCCACTGTCAAACACCTTTTCCATTCTCCAGGCTGGGATGTGTGATCTGAAACTCTCCCTGGCCTCGTGCTGGAATTCCCTGGCTGTGTTTGAGGAGCACAAGGACATATTTCTGTCATGGTTATCAGCAGCATCTCTGATAACCCAGCCCTCTCTGGAGACTGCTGGGAAGGAAACAAACAATAAACCTCCCAGATTTGGGGTGGCTTTATGGCTGCACTTTAAGCTCTGTTGGTTTTACAAACTTTTAAAAATAGGGCGTTTTAAAAATGTCAGCATGGCAGATTCTTTGCCATCTTCTCCTTCCCCCATCCCTCATCACAGAGAGTCAAAAACCTCATGGAAAATGCCTGGCACAAACCTACAAAACTCCTGCCACCCCAAGACCAAAACTGAGCTTGCCCAGGAGAATGTTCAGGTCATGGTTTTGTTCTCTGCAGTAAAACTGAGGGGAATCCTTTGCTGCTGAACTCTCTGGCTTGCTGTTATCTTTGATTTTTATCATGGGAATTTCACTTTACAAGTATGAGGAATTGCCATGTTTTCTCTCACAGATTTCAGAAAAATATGGGCTTCCTGAAGAAAGCATTTATAAAGTCTACAAAAAGTGCAAAAGAGGGTAAGCTAATCTCTCATCTGCTTTTCTGCTGTGCCTCCAGAGCTGCTCTCTCCAGGCCCTGCCATTGGCTCCAGGAGCATTTTAACAAGATAATAAAAGGTAGAGCCATGGCAGGCTCTGCTATTTGGAGCATATAAAACTCAGATCTTTCTGGGCTTTAAAGATTTGGGATAATGCTTGTTTGTATTATATTTGTTTGGAGGGTAAAGTCTCCCAAGGAGAGGAAGTTGGGTGAAGGTGGAACTGTTTGGGGAGTCTGGAGGTGATCCTTGGTCTCAGTCTGAAAGCCTGAGGTTATGGAGAACTTATCAGAGAGGGATCAGTGTTTGCTGCTCCAAGAAATGCTGGAATGTCCCTGGCTCAGTATGAGGGGTGGGCCATAGTGGGCCTCTGAATTCATCAGGAGTTCTTCCACCTGCTGCTCATCCCTTAGCCCCAGAAATGGGAATTTTCTGCCCAAAGGAAAAGACCAGCACTGGTGGCTTCAGGGGAGAGGCCACCTCACTCAGTTTGGCTTTGGTTTTGTTCATGCCTTGATCTGATAAGCAGAGAGTGTTTGGTGATGACTGAGAGGGAAACCAGGCAGGAGGAGCAAAGAGGTATCTCGTGAAAAGGAAAGGCCACACCTGGAAATTAGATTAAATAAATAATTTTGACACCTGGTTTAATGAAGGCTGGATGTGACCCATGCCAACAGCTACTCCTGAGGTGTGGGGAGATTGGAGATTGCTCCTCTCAGGCTGGTGGCAGGGTCAGGCCCAGCTTCCTGCTCCCCCAGATTTAATTTTCAATAATTTTATCCTATGGCTCCACCCTAAACAATCTTCTGCTGGTAATTACAGCTTGAGGGGCAGATCTTCATCAGGTGAGAGCCAGTGCAGCTCAGTGGGACTGCCTGGCCTGGCAGCAGGGCAGGACCTGCCCCAGCCATGGCCCTTCCACAGGGGTGAGCTCAGCACATGAACTCGGTCCCAGGGTGACTCAGGAGCAATAATGAGCAATTTTGGATCTTGGTGAGGTTTGGTCTGGAGGAACAATCCAGGGCTGATTCCTGATCAGCACCCCTGGGATCGTTTGTGGTTAACAATCAGATGGGAGCACAGCACAAGAGGCACAGGTGACTTCTCTGGCTCCTGCTCTGGGGCACGCAGAGATGAAGGGATCAGCTCTGCTGGGGAAGCTCCTGGGTACCCACAGAGTCTGTGGGGCACCTGCTGGAGGCCAGAGCTGGACCCAGGGCTCGGGGTGCTGCTGGGGCTGGTGCAGCCAGGAGGATTCTGATGTACCAGGCAGGGCCAGAGCCCCAGTCCCAGCAGCCCCTGGAATTCCTGCCTGTGCCACGACAGAGCTCCCAGGCTTGGTGAATGTTCTCTGCTGGATCCTACCTTGTCTTGTGCCCTGGCTTTAATTAATTAATTAGCAGTGGTTGAGCCCCTCACACTGGGGAAGGTGAACTGCTTTCAATGTGCTGCATCTGACCCAGCCATTCTTCTTCTCTGCAGGATCCTGGTGAACATGGACAACAACATCATCCAGCACTACAGCAACCACATGGCCTTTCTGCTGGACATGGTAGAGGCAGAGAACAAGTTCCAGATCATCCTCAAAGAGCTCTAAAGAGCTGCAGGCAGCACTTCCTGGCACTTCTCTCCGAGCTGGCACGTGTGACCCCGCAGAACTCAGCCCCGTGCCCGCTCTTGTTGCCTTGACTTGAACCCCCATGGCCCCGGGGCTGGGCCACAGACTGCTGTGACATCATCCTGTGAACGTGGAACTTGGCTCTGTTGACTTTATTATTATTATTATTATTATTATTATTTTTTATTATATTTTATTCCCTTCTGGCAGCGGGCCTGAGCTGCCATTTCAGAGCTGGGCACACGAAGTGACACTGCCAGGCCTGGGCACAGAGCAGAGCTGGTGGCCCTGGCAGGGAGCGACGCCAGCCAGGCCTTGGCCTCTGCACAGCCCCTGCAGAGCTTTCCCAGCAGGGCTGAGCCTGGCTCTGAGCTCCCCTCTGGCACAGCCAGAGCTGCAGCCTCAGCTCTGCTGAATGGACACTGCCTGCTCCACACCCTCCCTGCACATCTCTGACTGTAAATACCACGGAGGCCTCCACAACCCCTGTTTATACATTTCTGTGTTGTTCCTTTTGTATTTTATATGTGTATAAATATGCATTGTTTTCTACTGGACTCAGTATGGTGACACAGAGCATTTCAAACACAGGCTGCTTCACATTTCTCCGTGAACTCCTTTTGTAACTGTGTTGTTGGTTGTGTTGTTTTGGATATTCTGTAGTAATAAAGGCTCAAGGACTGAAAATGAACCATTTCCCCCAGCTCTGGAGTTGGAAGGGGCTGGCCAGGAGCCAGGGCAGGGAGGTGACCCCAGAGGCACCAAAAGGGCTCCAGGATGGTTTTGGCCAAGGTCTGTCCCCTCTGCAGCCACCGTGCCCAGCTGTGTCACCAGGTGGGACTGGGTCCCTGAACTCCTGTGCTCAAACTGCCCCAAGCTGCTTCCCATTTAGGTCATCAGGTGCCAAGGGGAGCCCTGTATTTTCTAATTAATCCTCTGACCAATGAAAACCAGGGCCTTTCCTCCTCCCTCTTCTTCATCCTCTGCTTTTCCTGGCCACGTTAAAGATGAACCTGAGGCCTGTGAGTGGGGAGGAAAGACAGAGCCCTGGGAAGAGGATTTGGAAATGCTGGACTGTGTCAGCTTGGTGAGTTTTGGATTACTTCAGTCCTGTTTGAGGATGGCCTCTCAGATGAAACACAGATAAGCAGAAGGTTTTATCAGCCTTTGGGATCTCTCCAGCACTCCTTCCCCTCAGATCACAAACTCCTTCTTCAGCAGGATGGCTCTGATTCAGTGTTGATTCTGTGAGTCCTTCTACAGCAGAATTTCAGCTCCAGTTCAAACCAGTCCAATCCCCCAGTGCTCAGTGTCACCAGCTGAAAGCTGCAGGTCCCTGTGCCCTGCTGTGTCAGGGGAGTGTGGGGACAGCTGGGGAGGGCTGCAGGCAGCCCTGGGCTGTTGTGTGCACGCAGAGCTGGGGGGTCTGGGGACCCCTCACCCCTCAGTGAGTTGCTCTCAAAGTCTGATTTTCCTGCCAGACAAACATTTACCCATGTGAGCCTCAGTTCTTCCAGCAGCACCACTCCCGAGTTACAGCAGCAAAAGCCATCTCAGGGGTAACTTTATGTTCCCAGCAGAACAAGGATGAACTTTGGTGGATGTTATGGGGCTCTCGTTCCCACAAACCCATCCTGGCTTTCGCAGAGGCTGCAGCTCCCCGGGTGTGCCCTGGGACAGTGAGTCCCCGATCTGGGGTGGGATGGAGGCAGAGACCCGGCGCTGTTTCCTGCGCGGCTCGGGGCAGTCCCGGCTGTGCCGGGCTGGGTCCCGGTGCCGGCTGCGTGCAGGGAAACGCGGCCGGGGCAGTCCCCAGCCCTGCCCGCCGAGGTGGGTGTTTTGCTGACTGGCTCAGTATCGCTCATCCCTTCCAGCCAAGGCGAGTTGCTGGGAGGTTGCGTAAAGCAGAGCTCCCAAATATGTGCGAGCATTCCTGACTCCTCGCCCGGAGCCCACCAGTTCCTTTTGAAGATTGAGATAGGAGCGATGAGGGCGATTTTCACCCCGAGCACCGAAGGTCGTGTGAAAGCAGCGAGGGATTGCACAGGGCTCCCTCGGGAGCTGCTCGGGGGTGGCAGAGGGGGTGTCTGGGCTCGTGTTGAGCACAGGGTGTGACAGACCCCAGTGCCCATCCCTGGGCCAGCACCATCTGCCCCCTGCCCTTCTCCCTGACTCCCACCCCCTCCAGGGTGGCTCCCCAGCCTCCAGCACTGCGAGTTCTCAGGAAAACACAGAGGAGCCCACTGCTTGTTTTAATTACTCAATATCTACAAACTGGAAGCTTTCAAACCAATTTTAGTTAATGATCATCTCCCGGTTCTTAGAACTGAGCACCACTAATTAGCTGCCCGTGAGCCAGCCCTGGCAGGCCAGCACAGGCCTGCTGATGTGAGCAGAGTCTGAGGGAAATCCTGACACAGGAATCCCACTCTGGCATCCCAGCTGGGCAGGAAGGAAAACTTCCCCAGTGCTCCTGGTGAAAACGTACCCACAGAGACAGAGATGCATAAAAAGGAGCAGCAGTGAGAGCTGAGTTGTGCAAGAGCTCTGGTATCCCCAGTGCTGGGTGGAGGGCTCTGCTCCTCACTTCTACAAACAACACCCAGTTTCTGTGTCTTTATTCGTGCTTATTCACTGCTTGCATCATCAGGCAGGCAGCTGAGGAGCTCGGTGTGTGGTGTGGCTCTGCAGGGCTGTGAAGGAAAAACAGCATCCTGTGTTTTGTTAGGACACCCACACACGTGTCCGGAGGTGCCCTGGTGCTGTGCTGGGCAAGGCAGGAGAGGATTAAAGTCAGGGAAGTCAAACCCTGCCTGCATCTGTTTGTGAGTGTGCAGAGCTTTAATGAATCTGCTGAGGGTTCTCCCAGCTCTCATTTATTTCCCCAGGTAGTGCCTTGGATTTGTAGAATTAAATTTTGGGTGAGGTGGGCACTAGAACCCCCAGAGCTGTGGGAATGTCCTGGAATCATCAGCTGGAAAGTGGCCACAGAATGAGAGCTCAGTGCTCACAGTCAGGGGCACAGACTCGGGATTTACCTCAGTGAGCTGAGGGCTGGTTTGGCTGTGAGACAGCCCAGGCATGAACTGCTGGATAACCAGCGTTTGGTGAAGCTGCTGTGTGTCAGCCCCTGACTGACTGAACTGTGACTGTGCCTCTGCTCTTTGGGGCAGCTCCAGAGCAGCTCTGTGTGCTCGTGCACTGGTGTGGCATTGCTGGGTTTCTGATCTGTAAAAGACTGATGAAAAGCAGACTTCTGTCTGCTCTCCCAGCAATTCATCACCTCCCAGAAGGACCTGGGGATCTTAGAAGGGATAAACAGGGCAAGAAATGAGTGGGAATAACTGGAAAATAATGTCAGCTGAGCCTGGCGACAAGAGCCACCGGGCACGGAGGGACCGTGCGCGGCCCCGCAGCTCCGCCCCGGGGGAGCCGGGCTCTGCCCCCAGCCCGGGCTGCGCTCGGCAGGATCCGGGCAGGGAGAAGGGACGGAGATGGGTCTGTGGCTGTGCCTGCCTCACCGGTGCTGCTGTCACGGTGGGCACCCAGCTCTGCAGCTGCCCCTGCTCTGCCTGGGCGCTGTGTTTAACCCATTCCTCTCCGAGGTGGGGCCCTCCTCCTGCTTCCCTGGGTACTTTCTGATTCCAAGCTGCAGGATGTGTTTCTTCTCCCATTTCACTCAGTTCTGGGGGAGGAAGGCTCTGGTGAAGCCAGAGCAAAGAGGTGCTGGGGTTTCTGATGCTGCTCTGTGCCCCCACCCTGTCCCCTGCAGTGCTCCCCTCTTCCCATCAAAGAGAGGAATTGTGCAGCTGGAATGTGTTGTACCAACAGTCAGTGATGTGAGTTTTACACACACAGAACTCACAGAACCTGTTTGTCCAAAGCCCTGACAGTCAGTGATGCTTTAATGGCCTTTACACTGCAAACAATCTTTTATTTTTTCAACCTTACCTTTAAAAATAATACTGTAAAATATGAGCCAGCCAAGCTGGACAAGGAGCTGGTAGTGAGGACTCCAGGGCTGCTGTGTGGCCCTCAGGGTGATGCTTAATCCTTCTAAGCCAAAATCTCTGGGAGATGAAGAGCTCTGGGAAGTGGAAGCGCTATGGACAGCCTGTGGTGTTTATTGTAAAATCCATGGATGTGCCATGGTCCAGCCCTGCACAGACCTGGCTGCTCCCCTGTGCAGGCAGTGCTGGAACAGGACAGGGATGCCAAAGGGCCCAGCTGGAGTCCCTGCTGCCCTCCCACAGCAGAGGGAGCAGCTCTAAGGCTGCAGCTGGGTGTGGAGTGTTTGTGTGTTTTCTGATAACAGGCTGGGGATCTTCCCTCCTCGTATTTAATTTGCCCTTTCCTCCAGCCCTCTGTCCTTATCAAATCCCTCCTGGCATTGCTTCCCTCCCAGCTTCCTATTCCCCAAACCCCTGATAGAAGATCCAGCTGCTGAGAGATGTAGTAAAGATTTCCCTGTTGGGTAAGGAGAGCCCTGGGCTTTCTCATGGGCTCATTCTTTTCCACGGTCAGGAATTTATTGATGATCTTAATCTCAGGCCTGCAACGTCACTGTGTGGTGACAATAAATGTTTTTGAACGATCTGCTGATGGATTTATTTGTCTTCCCATGAGGATCCTGAGGGGTGGGAGGGCTTGGGAGAGTTTCTGTCGTGTCTTTCCATCCCTCTGAAGAGGTGGCAGGATGGAATAGCTGGGAATGGCAGCTCTGGCTCCCAGGAAGCACCGTTACAGTGAGCCTCTCTCCAGCTCCCATTGCTCCCATTGCCAGCCCAGCAGGGGGAATGGCCAGGGGGAATGGCCAGGTTTATCCAGCAGCTGCCCTGGCTGCTGTGCAGACAGGAGTGTCCCTCCCCATTCCTGCCCAGGGTCCCCACATCCTCAGAGCTCCTCTGGGGAGAGTTCAGGCACTAAACCAGCCCAAAGCCTCTGCTTGGGATGTGAGGAATCTTTTTCCAGGTGAGGTA